AGGTCCTGATCAGGCCTGACCAGGAGAAGAGGCGAGTCAAAGCTGTGAATCAGGGTGAGATCTGAAGAAGCGAGAAGACAATGCAGGCTATCGATCAGACCAAACTTGACAGAAGACAGGGCCCACTCAGTTCCGCGGATCACTGCAAATCCTACGGGGCAGAGGGGACAGCAGTCGCGTCTAAGGAGCTGCCACCGGGGAGAGGTTAGGGCTGACGAGCGGTGACGGCCGGGAGGACAAGCTCTGTTTAATCGCAGCGCGGCTATCTACGGTGGGGGGGGGGGGGGGGAGGGCAGGTTACAAGCCGGTGCGGCCAACCCCATGACGGACTCAGCATGGTTTTGTCCGTTCAAATAAGAATAGATCAGTGTTCGGCCGTGAAATGTTTCCCATCAATGCATCTTGCATAGGGTCTGTAAACGATTGTGCGTATCGCGTATGTATTGACTAAAACTGCTGCTTCCGTTATTCGGCTTTAGTCTATGGATAAACCTCACGCTTTGAATAAGCGGTACACAGATACAACTACAGTACTTCGAGCTTCACTTCATCACATTATGTTTTGTCACGCATTATCCGTTGTATTGTAAAGCAGCACGCGTGTCTTCAGCAACCCACCCAAGGCAAAGGTAAGCGTCAAATTTTGCATGAAAGCTCGACCAGCCCAGCGATATGAGCTTCGCGATCAAGTCATGCCGGATGCAAGAAACTACCGTCTCAAGCTTCTGTTTAGAGCCAGGTTAAATTGAAAGTGAGAATAACACATGACATCGGTCGCAGCGGTGGTTCCGTAATTTCTGCCGATCAAACCTTACAAGCCAGATGAAACAGGAGCTGCAGGCCTTCTGTTGACTATAAAGCCTCCCTCTCATTCCCACCACCCCAGGAGCGGCGTCATACCACAGAGACTGGACAGGAGCGTGGCTGGGGGACCACCCATTCTCTCCCGCCCACCAGCATGAGAGACGCACCACACATGATGTTCACACCCACCAGGGACAACGAGTCACTGCTTATGATGCGATGTCCACACGCACCAGGGACAACGAGTCACTGCTTATGATGCGATGTCCACACGCACCAGGGACAACGAGTCACTGCTTATGATGCGTTGGTGCCTTATTGTATGTCCCCGGTTCACACAATAGAGCCGGTGGCATATTTTTCACACAAAAAATATTCCGAATGGTTTGCATGGGTGACTGGGTTCAGAGTACCTGCTAAGCACAGCTTGTTGCGAACACCGTGAACCCACCACCTACGTCGCACCGCCCAGTTCAACGGATAAATTTGCCTCCGTCCTTGCGCAAGACAGGAATGCGGAGGGTTTTACGTGCCGCACAATGCTGAGACACGGCCGCCCCGGGCCAGGGTTGACACTCGTTTGCCAGTTTGCCATTTTGATTGCAGTAACAAAGACTTAAACACTCGCGAACTCTCGCGCACAACACAGAGGCACGAAGTCGTCAAAGTCATTCGTTTATCTGAACGGAGACTAACGCACTTCTCTTGGTGCTCTCTGCCACGTAAGGGCGGGAGGAATGCCACACGCAAGCGCGCGCTAGTCCCAAGATAATCGATTTACGCAACCAGATTGTCTTCTACGGGGAGATATTTCCAAACTGTACGGAGCCGGCCGTATATCAAAGAAGGCTGAGTCAGACGGCCGGCCTACCAACGGAGGCTGAGGCCAGCCTGGGCTAAATTTAGGCAGTGCATTTCAGTGCTGCGATAGTCCAGCCCGTGACCAACGACAGATGATTGGTTTAATTGGCAGCACTCGTTAAACCAAACAGCTCACCGAGAGCTGCATCAGAAGACCACATGGAAAGCTACATGGCAAATGGGTCCAACTCCATAACACTGTTCGCCGCGACAGACCAAACAAACATGGTGACAGTCCATGGAGCGACTCCCGGGGCAACGAAAATACTCACAGCGATGGGCAGATATCGACGTTCACGTTGAGCGACTGGCAATACAATGAGGAGGGTCCCTTTTATCAATAAGCATGCTGTGCGCAGCGCTAAGGCAAGCGCGTCCCAGCTACAGAAATGCAAATATTTCAGCAGCAGAAAGGCGCAGGGTCTTCGCGAGGCTTGCTACACAGAACTCCCACGGCGCTGTAACGTTGACCATGATAACAGATATCAGCCATGAGTGATAAATTTGCCATGGTGATTGCAGCAATAAAACCTAGCAATACAGCTGGGCCATGTGGAACATTTAGTATCATTTCGGCCCTCGCGCGCCGCGGCCAGGCCAAACGTCCCAGACCGGCTCTGGGTGGCGGCTTTGGGTCGGATCGATCCCGGGATGGAGCCCTGGCGCTCGCCGGCCGCCTTCCGCTGGCGATTTCCGCTCGAGTGACCCGGTGTGGCCGGCACTTGGCCACGTCTGGGCCCTCACAGCGCTGTTTCGGCTGACCCGGCGCCTGTTCGACGGAGCAAGAGGCCGGAATGCACTTCATACGTGAGTGAGAACCGTGCCTATGTCGGCCCGACCCCGGCTAATCTGGGGCGTGGTTCCGCCCGAGCCTGTGAGTTGCTGGCTGAGCCCGACTCCTAATTCGGCTCGAGCGGGCCCCATCACGACGCTGGCGCAGGGCGGCAGAGCTCTGACCAGGACGGGAGCTGGCCTGGTAGCTCTGCTGAACTCGACAGCTGGTGTTCATCTCCAAGCAGATACGAAGCAGCGGTAGTTGCACCCTGATAGCCCAAACTTCACTATCGGTACATTTTGTCGCGGCGGTTATCAAAGATAGATTTATCAGAGTGAAAAATCACGCCGTGGTTCAGGAGGGTAAGAGCACCAGGAATAACAACAGCACCAGATGAAGCTTGTGATGTTGCGTTGAGCGTGACAAAAAGGCGTTATATCTTTTCAGCGTATGTACCTATTCTTGGCCATTCATGCCAGGACTTGACGAGAAAGGCCTTCGTGGAAACCTAAAAAAGGGCTTTTGCAATAACCCGCCACCAGCAGGAGGTGACATCCAAAACCTAAAACAATGACGGATCCAACTCGTTGCAGTTTTGCGGGTTGTTTTGTACCGAATTAAGTTAACCTGAATATGTGTGGCCTTCATGGAAAAATGTCCCTTCCGAAGTTCTTTGAAGTGTTTGGTATTTTCTTCTGGGGCACGACAGTAAAGGCCCTAATGCCGCGTTAGTTGTTCGTCAGTCCTAGCTGTTTCGCGAATCTGGACAACACTGAGGCGTCAATCGTATTGATCCATTCACCACGAATGCGGCAGTAAATCGGCGGTCCGTGAAAGCAAGTTTGCTTTCTAACAGTCGCCACTTAAGGGGAAATGATCCATTAAGACCGGCATAAATAGAGGGGTATATTGAGCAACACCAAATGTTGTTTACTACTCAACATGCACGCGCATATACCGTAGCCGCAAGTGAATGACGCTTGTATCCGACGACAAAGTCATGGGAGCTCTGGGTGGCCAACTTTCGTGTGTGTGGGCATTTGATATATATATATATATATATATATATATATATATATATATATAGGTATATACACACATATACATTTTTTACATACAATATATATATATATATATATATATATATATATATATATATATACATGCACACAAATATTTATATACACACACATATATGTATGTATAGGTATATACACATACACATTTTTATACGTACACATATGTACATATACATACATATGAATATATATATATATATATATATATATATATATATATATATATATATATATATATATATATATATATTCATGCGCCCAGAATGTAATTTAACAAGTGTTTGGCTGGCCTGAGCTCCCTGTGCAGCCTCATGACATAAAAACAAAGTTTGATAGCACGCAGCGCACACAGCTTGCAGCAGCCCCAGATGTTCAAAGCATCCGGCCATCTCTCAGAGACATCAGCCCGTCATGATGGAAAACAGTGCGCCCGCGCCCCCTCCCCCCTTGCCGTCAGTCGTGCGCGCTTGGCGCAGAAGACCATCTGCACGAGCGCCATGTCGGTCGAGCCCGGCGGCTGCTGCGGCTGCGGCCAGGAAGCGCGCCGTTTGGCAGCGCGTGCCGCTAGGCTGCGACGGCGGCGGCGGCGGCGGCTGGCTGATTCATTAGCTGGCCGAGTGCGGCGGGGTCAGCTCAGTGACGCTGGCCGAGTGACGCTCAGCCAGCGGACTCTCGTCCATGTTTGATGCCCGGAGATGGAGCGATCGGCGCCTCGCCGCAGCACGGGGCCTCAGGGGTCCCGGGCGTTCGCTCTCGTGGACGGCTCGAGGCCACATCACGCGCGCGTTTCGGCCAGAGGAATGCTTCGGGAAATGCCGGGCACGTAAGGGGCGCGCTGGGTGTGGGCGAATTTTAAGTGAAGAATAAGGCATTTTCGGGACACCTGAGATGTCTATTCTAAGAAAGTGTGAAGGGAAAACAGAGTGAGATATTGCAGCGAAACGACAGAAGACATCGGCGCTGGTATGTGCCTTTTAGTCTGCCACGCAGTAACGCCTATCCAGACTGCCACGCCTGACGCGTATCCACCACACCAGACGCCTATCCAGCATCATCTACAAACTCACGCCCCAGCTGTGACGGAGATCATAAGATGAGCAGAAGAGTACACACTTCGACTTAATCCAGTTCATACACAAACTCAAACTGGTAGCGTCGCGGACGGGTAGCGGTGGCCTTCCACACCCCGGCCGGGGCGCCACGGCTTAAGGTGGGCCGCCCTGGCCGGTCCGGAGCCTCGCTGGGCTGGCCGGAACCAACGCCAGTCATCTCTGCCCACTTCGCGGAGCTCGCAGCGAACATAGCGACAGTGTGCAGCCGTTCAGCTACCGCGGGCAACATCAGCTTCCATCACCGGCACGTCGTCGGCCGTTGCGCCGTGAGCTATTCAAGGGACAGGGCTCAAAGCAGCGATGTTGCCGCGAGGTGGCTGGTGGCAGCGCGCCGGCGGGCTGCCGACGGAGTCGTGCCGCGTTACTCACGAGTGATCCAGGAACCGTCCAGGCCGCTGGGTGCCGTCCGGGTCACCCAGGTTGCACATGGCGATGGTCGCCATGGTCGGGCCGCCCCGCACGGGCGCCCGCCTCCGCCGTCACCGCGCTCACCGCCGCCGATGCCGTCACGGCGTCACCGCGCGTCCGCCACCACTGCCGGCCACTCACGACGCCGCTGCTTCGGCCAGCTTGCACCCACTGACCGGGCCCGTCATCGAAACCCGTGCACGAGTGGCGCGCCTATTACCGGCCGGCCGAACGGCGGCCCATCGAGCTGGCCGCGCTCGGCACCGCGGCGCCCCCGCCAGATGGTCGCCGCACCTGTGTCGGCTGCCGAGGGGCGCTCGCCATGTGCCGCTGGCGGCCGCTCACTCGCGGGCCGCCCGGACGCGGATTGGGCGGGCGGCCCGGCCGCCGCCGCCGCCGCCGCCGCCGCCGCCGCCGCCCGCCGTGCGCAGACGGGCGTGCGTCAGCGCCGCAGCCGCCGCCGCCGCCGCCGCCGCTGCACGAACGTGCACATCGGCTTGGGAGGGGCGGAGGTTCACTGAGGCGGCGGTGTCGGTGTCGGCGGTGTTCAGGGGCGGTTCACTGAGGCGGCGGTGTCGGACGTCACGGCAGGTGGCGTCCGGGTCGGACGCGGACAGTGTCACCCGGCGAAGGGGCGGAGGTGCGCGCTGAGGGCAGCGTCGTGCGCGCTGAGGGCAGCGTCACCCGGCGAAGGGGCGGAGGTGCGCGCTGAGGGCATTTCGATAAGGGCGGCTGAGGTACTTGTGTAGCCTCCGGAAAAAATATGGGGAAAAGCGCAACCTCGGATGAGGATGGAGGGACCTAGCGCAGTCTCGCCTGCGGATGGAGGTTGTCATGGGACTGTTGCAAGCTTCGAGGTGACTGAAACACTAGCGCATCCTGGGAAATATGGGTGGGGGGGGGGGGGGGGGGGGGGAGGGCTGCGACTAGTGCATATATGGGGCGGCTGTGAGACAGACACGTCTCTAAACGGCTGGGAGACCACTGTACTTCTGAAAGTATTTAGCGGAAAGCCTGGCACAACCCTGTAATTGGATGGGAACTGAAAATCTCTGGTGGTGCTGGAATATCAACGCACCCCTGCGAGCAGCTGGGTTGAGGCAGACCAAGCAGGCCATCGATGATAGGCAGTCAATTAAATGGGGTAATTCACCACGTGGGTATCGGTCTCGATCATCGATTGCAGCTTGCTGTTATTTAAAGAATCTGTTTTAAGTCATTTAAATAATCTAATTTTACTGTAGTGCGCTTTCATTTGCCTCATTTTCAACCAGTCCCTCACATTAACAATGACTGATGTGACGTCAACGTATCTATTTGCAGTCAGAGTCGTACGAACTCACGTTATGTCCTAAGAGTCAAGGACGCGGATAGCCAACGGTACGCACGCTTAGCGAAGTTTCCGATGCTTTTTCCGATGCTTAAACTTCTGATGCTTCCGATGCGTTCCTGCAGATTGTGCGGCTTATTCCCCCAGATGGAGGATTGCATACGCTGGTAGATTCAGAATCATCCCTGCAATAATGTTTGTTGTGCATCTACGTGATAAAAAGAGGACAAAGTGAGAGGCAAAACTTCCATCAAAAGGCACATGCAAATAAATCCGTAGCTGTCCCCTCCGAGCAGTAAGTATAGATGTGCGACAAAACCTGACAGTTTTGAGACCAAAACCTGCTAGTGCTCAGCCCAACGCTTTTTCCAATTGCACTGATGACGCACACGTCAATATCCGCGTCGAATATCCAGTTCGTATCGAATATCGAATATCGAATATCCAATATCCAGTTCGTAACAACTGGCCAGGACTCAACGTCAATAACGATCCTTTGTCAGAATCGATGTCCCATCGCAACGATCTAGGTGGACGGACGGAAAAGTTGAAGGCCCGGGATAAACTTCCAAATGCTATTTTAGCAAGCCTATCGATTCCCCATCAGCAAGCCACGCTGTTCATGGCCACGGAGAGGAAATAATCCTGACCGCGCTCCGTTCCATTCCTGGACACCCGCTTCCAGTGAACCCGCTAAATATGCCCCATTCGTCTCCCGGGTGAGTAGGCTTGGGCATTTCATCATAAACCGCAGGGTCTGGCTCTCCGCAGAGGGAGTGTTCATGCACCATTTCCGGGGCCCACGAGCAGCACTCTGACGTCACTGCAGCAGTGGCTCTCAAACTAGGCCTTCGCTACTGCAACGCGGCGAGCCACGTGAGGAATGCCGTGGTTGTGCGGTCGAACTGCCCACGGCAAGAGCGTGGTTCATGCAACCATTCAACACTCGTACTCCTTTGACAACACCCGCCGCAGTAAGTCACGAGCAGCAGCAACACTGCCATCAACGTCCACCGGGTTCCCAGGTCCTTGTGCAAACCGCGCAGCCGGATGTCTGCCGGCGTTCTCTCCCCGCGTTGAGGACCCCTGGCTTTGCTCATAACTTAATGGAGCCTGCATGGAGCGCGCGCCGGCCGGCGCCCGCTGGGCGGGCACTGGTGTGTGCCCTCGCGAAATGATCACGTGCTGAGGGACGAAGGCACAGACACTGTGCAGAGATGGAATGATTGGAATCGATAGCGTCACTCCGTCAGTCACCGTCCTGACGGTCAATCAAGCTTGACTGCCAGAAAACTGATATTTTTTTCGGTGCAATAACCTCGAATGGCGATACTGCTGCAACACTTTTGGCGGCGTAAGTTCTCATTTGAAGCCATTTACCGGTATGACGTCTGGGCAGCCATTATCGTGTCAACAGCGGTTAGCACGGGTAGGCCATAGCAAGGCACCAGCGCATGGGCTAGAAACAATGCGTTGCATGTACACCAAGGTGTACTGTGCTGCTGAACATTTCGAAACACGACAGAAAACCGACGGTGATGTCTGTGCTGGCCTCTAATGCACAAAACCACAACTGGTATGCGAGGCATGGGTTTTTCCGATGACCGCCATGGAACGAACCAACGATCCAAGAAAACAACCGGGTTATCTAGTTTCTTGAACTCCCTGAGTCACCTCACTTTAACTGCAGAACGTCTCACACCTGCCCCGCAGATGACCGGACGACCAGTACCGTCCCGCGGCGTTATTGATGTCAGTATGCCAACGAACTTGTGGCTGGCAGTGCGCCCAGCGCAGGAACAACAAAAACCAACGCGCGTTTCTCAAAATCACCGGAAAGTGCCGATTTTGATGTTTTGAGCATGCTTAAGACGAATTATCCATTATGTCGATGAACAACATTAAAAGCGACGATGCACCACAAGTTACAGCTTAACAGCTGTTGCAACTTAAGTAGTTAAATTGTTTATTCTGCTATCATAACCACAGCAAGTTACCACCACATATTATCCAGCGCATGTCTGCCAAAATAAATCCGCGTTGACAAGCCCGAATTGCCTGATGTAGTGTCATCTGCATAATGAACCCGCATGAATTACGTAGAGGTCCTCGTTCAAATCTCACCAGGCCTTATCTTGCCTTCAGGTCTTTGGCATGTAAAGCCACGGTGTTCCTAACGAACAATGCTGAAAAATAATTGCTTTATTCGACCTGGTGATATGCAGTAGACGCGGGTTTATTAATGTTACATCTATGCGTTGCCGTATAAGTGTTATATTCCGAACGGGAAAACCACCGCATTTTTCATCAAGATGCCATACGTTTGGCTGTGATACCTGATCGTCTACAGAAAAGCATCCAGATGGTCCGTTCAAGCCGAGTTAGATTTGAAAGAAGCGCGCTTCTCACTACGTTCTTGGAGAGAAGACGCAAAATGTTTACGTTGCCGACGCGACGTAAATAATAACCATCGTCACCATAGCGGAGTTGTGTGGAACCACTTGGAATGGACGGAGTCGTAACACCGTTACATGGAGGTGTCAGGGATCCCGCAACTCTTTTTTTGTGCATGTAACCGAGTTGTAATCACAGACATCACGCTCAGTTTGCGCGTTGTGAAGGTGATCCCTCACAAACACACACCGCCACTGCAATAGATAAAAGTCCGCTGATCGTTCAACGTCAATAAGTCTTTTCCAGAGTGGGGATCACCAGCGACGAAAAAGCTTCGTTTTATTGCTCAAGGCACGCAAGCGACGTCGTTAATGAGAAGGTTAGCTGACTGGCGGGAGGTGGTCCCGGTGCACTAGCGTCTTTCTAGTGCACGCCACACAGCTGTGCCTGAACACAGCTCAGCAGCAGTAGATAAGCGGGCACTGTATCACAAGCTACGGTCCTTACCGAGGAGGCTCGTCACACCATTCATGACGACAGCCGCCCCGATGCCTCCTAACGTATGCATGTCCGCCTGACCAGCACTTCGAGACACGGTCTTGCAGGCCAGAATCAGGCCCCACGCCTCGTGCCACACCGAGGTGGATCATTCTCCTGCCCTCATTACATCATGCCCTGAGCCTCCCGGGCTGAGCGCTTCTCCTCCCCCCCCCCCCCCCTCCAAGTTGTTGGACATGAGCTGCTTTAAGGCCGAAACGAACCGGATGAACCGAAGGACTGGTTTTATTCTACACAGTAATCTCCAGTCTGCGAGTTAGTTCAGCTTTTCGTTCAATGCATTTCATGGCAGCACGAGTCCACCGCCTGCGAGCCGTACACAGTTTCGTTGAACACATTTCATGACGATCACTAAAATGCGGCGTTTGAGAATACAGCATTTGTCACCTGGTGTGGAGACGTTACCGTCCACACCGCGCCAGGCCGGGAAGACCGGCCCGATCCGTTCGCTACGTCCTCCAAGCGATGAGTTCTTCTCCTTATCAGGATCAGTAGAGTCGCACATTGGCATTGGACGCAGTAAACATCACATACCTTGAGCATCCAACGTCAAAGTCGGAAACAACTAAATTGTAGGACTGACGGAAACGTTTCGCGACTTCTATCAATCGTACGCCTTGGAGAGAACGACCCTTGTAACAAGCTACCGTTTCGCAAAATACAACCGCGGCGCGAATGGCTGCGAGCCAAGAAGGCAAGAGCGTCAAAAGTCATTCGCAGTATATAAGATGAATGTTTTGAAGATGGTTGCTGGCTTCCACGGGCGAGGGTCTTGAGATATCCTGAGCTAAAAATACGAACTGCAAGCTATAAATTTTTTGATTGAAGACCTATTAT